ATCTAAAAAACCTTGATTGTAACTGATGATGCCAATTAAGCTTAACGTAGGTGGCAACTAGCAAGTGAAGTAAACTAGTGCAATCACAGTGACAAGGAACAAGAGCTTCATACAACTCATGAGCAAGTACTTGAGTATCCTAGAGCTCCTCATCAATACTAGTGGCCATACTTTGACAGGCACAGGAATGAAGAATTATAAAAGCACAAAAGAAGATATAAAGGGCTTCTCTCACTTCACAAAATGACAGGAAACTGAATTAGCAGCCAATACCCACCTATGACCTCAACAAAAGAATAGAACACCCACGCAGCACAATAACTACAGCCAGAGTGTTCATAAATGGAAAGGAAAAAGTCTACTTAACCCCCCATCTTTCATACATGGTCTACTTCACCCCTCAACTATGAAACCGTCTGTTTTACCCCCTGAACTTTCCAAAACCAGCTATTTTACCCCGGACAGTTTTTTACAGCGGTTGCTACAGTAACAGTGGGTTTGCTACAATGCCGGTGGGTTTGAATTTTCTTTTTTTTTTTTTTTTTTCGGTGAATTTTAAAAAAATCATAGTAAATCATAGAAAAATCATAAAATGAAAAATCTGATTTTATTGGACTCCACATGAGTAGATCTACACAGTGAATATATAATATGGTATGCTTTAGTACAATTTTTTTTAGCTTTAGATTAATTGGAAAATCTAATATTTTCTGTAATTAATTAGAATTTATCTATAATTAAGTTATACATAGTCCAATGAGTACGAAATTTTTACTATAGTTCAAACATACAATAATTAGCGTACCATAAAAATTTCACCACAATTGAACCATAGAAGCTGCAGCTATGAATTATTCCAATTAATTACAGACAAAATTAGATTTTCCAATTAATCTAAGCCTACAGTAAAAATTTTGTACTAAAGCATACTGTATTATATATTCACTGTGTAGATCTACTCATGTGGAGTCCAATAAAATTAAATTTTTTATTTTATGATTTTTCTATGATTTTCTATGATTTTTCAAAAATTCACCGAAAACAAATAAAAAAAATTTTAAACCCACGGACATTGTAGCAAACCCAATGTTACTGTAGCAACTCGCTGTTACTGTAGTAAAACCGCTGTAAAAAAAAAACCATCCATGGGTAAAATAGACGGTTTTGAAAAGTTCAGAGATAAAACAGACGGTTTTATAGTTTAGGGATATGAAAGGTGGAGGGGTGGAGGGTTAAGTAGACTTTTTACTCAATGGAAACTAGAAATGACAAGCTCGTTGGACTACACTTGAACACCAGCTACAGTCATAACACAGAACACTTGGGGCACAAAATCAAGCAAATACAAGAGAAAGTGTAGTTAAAAAATGTCAACAGTTGAAGAATCATCACTCCATACACCGGTTGAGGCCAAAGATCCAGACTTTTGGCCCCATAAACAAGGGATGCAGCTGCCTAAGACTTTTAAGATGCAGAAGAAACAGAAAGGAAGCAGTTCGAGCACTGCCGCGTCCACTAGACGAGACACTAAGAGCTCAAAGTTCGAAGGAGCCGTGAAAGCAAGAAGGCCGCTGAAAAAAAAAAATGGGGGAAACAAGAACAAAGCGTGCGGCATCTACAGAGGCATCCCTAAATCCCCACGCTTCTCCCCAACTAGGAGACGCCCAAATCCCAGCGCACGCGGCAAGGAGCAGCTCAAGCTAAGCAAGCCCAAACGCTCCATGAGCCACTTGTAGCGAGAGCCTGAGCTCGGGTGAACTGAAACCCAAGCTTGAATCCACCAAACCCCAGCCCACCACGCACAGATTACCCACTAAAACCTAAAATTTAGCATCCCGCCGAGCACCGGCGATCAAAACGCCGCGAGATCGAGCAGCACTGAGCTCCCAATTTCCCCACCCACACAGATCCCCCGGAGAAAAAGCCCGCACAGATCATCCGATTCAGCCGAGCTCGCGGCGTCTCTCCCCTCTTCCTCGTCTGCGCGAGAAAGCTATTAGAACGCACGGCGACAAAAAAATGAGGCAACATACGAGCACTGCGATTTCAGCGGGGTGAACGCCACGAACCTGGCGCAACCGTGCCCCGCGAGGCGAAGCCGCTGCCGCCGCTGGGAAAGGGCAGCAGCGCGGAGGAGTGCGCCGGATCTGGATCGGCCGCGCCGCGTGGTCCCGGCCCGACCGGCTGCAGAAAGCGCCAACGGTAGAGGTGTCACGTCACCGCACGGCAGGCAGCAAGGACGGATTGAAACGCTAGCGCGCGGCCACGGTGGCTTACGGGACGGTGCCGCCCGCGCCACGACGAGCGGAGCGCGCGCGATCCGTCGGCCGCCGAAACGACCAAAAGAGCAATGATAGTAAAGCGACGAAGCGAGTGCGGCGGGGGAGCAGGAGCAGCTCCGCTTAGCGACGAAGCGAGTGCGGCGGGGGAGCAGGAGCAGCTCCGCTTAGCGACGAAGCGAGTGCGGCGGGGGAGCAGGCGCAGCTCCGCTTTAGCTTCGTGATAAAACACCAGTTCGACGTGTTGACGCCGTTCTCGCCAAGCTCGTCGCCAATAAATCTGGCGCCGTGCTCTTACCAGGTCAGTGTTCACGCCGGCAACGTGGCCCTGATCTGGACGTGACCTAAGCTCGATGCCACCAACGATAACGTCGAATTAAAGATTTATATTTTAAAGGCATACCCTCTATAGACATATTTATGAAAAACTAAAAAAAAGACTAAAAAATAAAAAATACGGCCAAGAAGACGCCGCCGACATGTGGGGATAGGGCGTCAGTGGGAGAGGAGAGTGGAGCCCGGGCGTCAGCCGAAGAGAGGGAGGGAGCGCGGCTTGGGCTGTTGGGCCACTTCGGCCTGAAGGCACTGGGCCGCGGGTGCACAGCTTGAAGGGAGAGGAGCTGGGCCAGAGTGATGAAGCGCTGAAGCTGGGCCTGCTGCGCACTGCGCCAAGGGAGAGGGCCACCAGGCCGAAATGAAGAAAGGGAGGGGAAGAGAAAAGAAGTCATGTTTCTTTTTCTGAACTCAGTTTTCAAATCTATTTGAAAAGGATTTTCAATTCAGTTTTGAGTTTACACAAAAACCAGACAGTACAACAAAAATAATGCATCAGCATGAATGCAGAAACATGTGTCTAACCTTATGGTGGATTTTAATTTAGCTAAAATTATTATTTCCCTAAGTTTGAATGCACACATAAAGCATTATAAAATCAATTTAAGCTATTTTTTAAAAGAATATAAATTTCAGGGTGTTACAATTAGGCATAAAAGAGTAAGATATACTCTCTCCGTCCTAAAAAAAAATGTCGTTGTGGGAGTCATGTTAATCAATATTTCTTAAGATTAACTAGGTTTGTAGACAATAGCACTAGCATATCCTTAAGGAGCCGTTTGGATCCTTTCATTTGGAAGAATTGAAATCTAATTAATAAACTAGGTTATTTGGCTTGGAATGTGAGATTTCACAACTTTCCAAAGTTTACATATAAACCTATCTCAAAGTCATAGGGCGATGGATGAAAATTGATTCTATAGATCACCATGCTATGTTTCTATTTTGCAACTTATAACACGCTTTTCAACTCGCTCCACTGTGTAGAAATGCAACATATAAGTATATCTCTCATGTAGACAACAATAATATACAAATATAATTTATATACAACCATATTAGGTTAATTAATGTGTCTAAACTATGATTATTATTAAAATGAATTCAATTCCAAAGATTCAAACGGGCCTAAATAAATTTGTTATATATTCAGTGATTTATTTAATAATATTAATTATATACCATAAATATTAATATTTATATTAGATACATTTGATTAAAATGAAAAACTATTTAACTTCTAAAAAATAAGAAAGTGAGTAAATCATTTTGGTGTCAAATCAAATAAAGAATTCTTTCCTATATCTACCACTCTCCCTAACGAAGGAGCATGCGCGTGCACCTGCAGAAAAAAGAAAAGAAAAGAGGAGAAATCGCCAAATCGGCCCAGTTGCGCCGGTCGAAGGCTCGAAGCTAGCCGGGAAGAATCGATCTCCTGAACTCACGCCTGTTTTTCTTCCCCCGTGCACCTCGCGTGCGCGACAACTGGGGCATCCGCCGCCGGCCGGCCGCCCTACGCCCAGCTGCCCAGGTCCGGTCCCTTTGCCCGGCGATCACACCAGGTATACCCGCCCGGCCGCCCCTTCTCTTTCCTTCATGCTGTGCAAAACTGAGCACCCGAACCCTAACTTAAGCTATCTGGCTATCTGTATTCGGATCTGATCTGATCAGAAGTCACTAACTTCGTTTTTAATCGTGTGTACATTTGTACACCCATGTCCTTAATTGGGTCTGCCCCAGTAAGGTTTACATGTGGTTTTTAGTTGGGAGTCCTTAATGCGTTGGTTATGCAAAATCAGAAGATCATCTTAATGCATGCTATGGTACATCATGTTTGGTGTGGTTAATCAGTTTACTGTGAAATTTGAGTTACTTGTTGATAAAATGGCTTGTTCGACATTTTTACTAGTTTTCTATGCACACACATGTTTTGAATTGCCAACCATCCTGATGTCTCATCATATCCTTACCTGAAGGACGCAAGTATCCATTTCTTCAAGTAGTCACAAGCCCATATGCTTGTTGTACTGCCTTTTCTTTTTTGAGACCATTGTTATATGATGCAGAATTTCATAATCTTAAATTATGCAGTACTTTGGAAGGCATTGGCACATCAGACTTTGTAATTCTTTTGGGGGTTATATAATCCTTACTACTATCAATTCTTCAAAACTGAAGGAAGTACAAATTAATTGTATGGCACTGCATACTTGAAGTTTCATCAACAGTAGGTGGCCTGCATATATTGATGTTGATTTCACATGTCGCTCTCATCTATAGCTGCCATTCTTTTGCTGACATACATTTCTAAGCAGGCATGCTCAGCTGACCTCACCTGGACAATCAAGCTGAAGAGATTATCATAGCGTGCATGGTTATTTTTCAGGAATGAAGCGTTTTGTCTACATAAATGATGAGTCTTATCAGAACGACTACTGTGATAACCGGATTTCTAATACAAAGTATACCTTATTGAACTTCCTGCCAAAAAACCTATGGGAACAGTTCAGGTTTGTTACTAGATGTATTTGTTCAATTTTTTGAATGAAAGTAGAGAAGCCCTGGTGACAAGAACTGTGATGATCCACTTGTCCGCATGTGTTAGTTGCCTCTTTACAATACAATATTCAATCGATGGAACTCTCTTGGTATATTGCTGATGACGTTTGTTCAACTGAAATAATGAAATTGTCTGTTTTGGTTGTCTCTGTATTTCGTGTGTGCTTGCTGCTGCTGGCTGGTGTGTGGTCGGATAATTTTCTTTAGTTTATAAATGTTCGAGTTCGACATTGTTCAACCTGTTATATTTTTTTATGCAATTGATTTTACTCATCAGACACTAGCATGATACTCGTACACAAGTCCAATTTTCTTTTACCTGTTTGATACACTGGGATACACATGTAACCATCTTATGCTAGTACTGCTATCTCCTGGCTGGGAAACAGAGAAAAGTAAAGTATCTATCTTGAAAGTGAAGGAAGTGGGTGGCAGACTTGAGAAGTGTGAGAGATGAAGAGGTGCTGTCAGTTGTCGATTACCACAGCTTGCTACAATGTAGTTGATATGAATGGCCTTTTTGTTCAATCCTTTGATACTATACTGCGTGAAGTAGGTTCTGACAGTGATGCATAATTAGACAAGGCTTTGAATCTTCTTTGGCTGTGTTACTTCAACGTCTACTTAGACTTTAGTAATGTAGATGCTATTTTACAATTAGAATATACTAATGTGAGAAAGTTACCCAGTCTGATCAAGCGAAATCATTCACTCCAAGCCGTGTTTGATCAGGACACATGAGTTCATATTGGGAACACTGCTTATGCTTAGTGCTGTTAGAATGCTTCTCTCATACCTAATTTTGATCAAAGGATGCTACAGTTGATAGATGATTTTTCATGTAAAAGTATACTCCATGCTGTCACATTGTATCTTTTTGGTTGGCCAGTCAAGGTTTGATCCCCGACCCAAATCCCCAGTTCTTCACTAGGGAGCAAATTGGTATATATGTAAATTGTATTCCTTTGGCTGAAAAAATCACATGATTTCAAGCATGTTAGACCTTGTTGTAATTGCATAAGTTAATTGGTACGGATGGAAAAGTTACTATTTATTTTGGTGTTTCAGGCGCTTCATGAATCAATATTTCTTGTTGATAGCTTGTCTGCAACTATGGCCACTTATCACTCCTGTAAATCCTGCAAGTACCTGGGGCCCACTTATATTTATCTTTGCAGTTTCTGCAACCAAAGAGGCATGGGATGACTACAACAGGTATATTTCAGATAAACAAGCGAATGATAAAGAAGTGTGGATTGTTAAGAATGATGCCCGGAAACATGTATGTTCCTATGTCATCCTCTATCATTTCACAATGTGCACATCTTTGGTCTTTCAGATATGCCTTTAACCATTTAATTTGAAATGATAGAGAGAATCAGAAGTGTGTCTGTATCCAGAAAGTAAAGTGCAAAATATATCCATGTAACCTTCTCGTATCAGGCTTGCTACCTTTTGCTTCTTTGCATAGCTACATCTTGAAATATTGCTTTACATACTTATGGCTACACCATGTAACTACTTTGCTATGCATGACCAATAACCCATTTAAGGTATTATTGCAAGTTTGCAACAACAATGCTTGTTGTGAAAGTTTAGTTCAGTTAGATGTGTACCTTGACCTCCAAGGACACTATCAAAGTCTAACAGTTCCTGCTGTACTTTCAGTATATATTACCTCTTCTTCTCACAGTTGTGAGAACATTGAACCTGAGAATATGGCCCTCTCCATTTTTTGCTATATAGATTCAAGCTCAAGATATCCGTGTTGGTAACATAGTTTGGATTCGAGAGAATGAAGAAGTACCATGTGATCTTGTTTTGTTGGGAACTTCTGAACCACAAGGCATCTGTCACGTTGAGGTAAATAAATGCTGTACCCCCACCACACCTTCTGTTTGTTTGTATTGTGCATGGTTTGCTCAGGAGACACCTTTAATTTATTGCCCATGTGGGGCATTTCAGTGAGTCAGAGTGAACTAAAGTACATATATTATTCCTTTTAGCAACCCCATCGTGTTTTCATAAATCATATATGAAATCTCACATGAAGTGTGATATAAGTAATAAACTGTGGTTGGACTCCCTTAGCTTGAGTGTTCTTAGAGGGGTGTTCCAAGATATCCCCCTATGTTCAATACGAGTTAGTTTATATTTTACTTAATTTGTTAGGATAAGAAACTAATGTTCTTTTGGACATGGAGCTGCCAAACTATTGTGGACTCGTTTGTGGGCTGCCAGTACCGGCGTCGCCTCAAACAAGCCACTAGTCCAAGCCGTGGCTAAGGCTCGGCTGTTAGGAAAGGAGGAATTAGGGGAGGATTTTTAGGAGATCAGTTTCATTATTGTTGGCAAGTGCTCCTAATCTTTAAAGGGGTACTTTAGGATTGTAAACAGTTATCGAAGAAGGAATAAACCTCCCTGTGTATCGGGGTGGGGTTTTACCCTTCGCGGTGGCGCCGGGCGCTTCTGCCGCCGTCACCGGAGAAGAACCCACCGCCGAGCTTCCTTGCTACTCTCTCCGCTCTAATTCCCAGTCTCATCTGCTCCTCCGATCCCCTCTGCGCTCACCACACCATCCGCGCCGCATCATAAACTAATAAAACTCCACATCTGAGTGGAGCTAATTCGTATTTAAGCAAAATATTTATTACTTTCTAGCGCTAAAGAGAGATCTCAGCTGAAGTTGTATCCTTCCAGTAGATAGAACAGTCTGAAACTACTTGTGATTCGAATTCCAGACAAACTTTTCTTCTTCATTTATTACCCAACTGATGAAACGTGATTCCAGAAATAATTTTAGTTGGCAACCATGTTTTATTATTTCTCGACATGTACCATGAATTTTTTCTCCTTAGATGGGACATACTTTTGAGTTTATTGTTATCCAGTTAGTTCTTTACATATTGAATATATATTATCCTTCCATTCTTGAATTCTAATTATGTTTGTAGACAGCTGCTCTTGATGGGGAAATTGATTTGAAGACAAGAGCAAGCCCACCACCTTGCGTAGGGCTGGAGTTTGAACAGCTGCACAAAATAAAGGTTAAAAGTCTAATTCTTTTTCTTTGTTTTTGCTGCTCTGCTCTCATTTATTTTTTCTTTTGCGAAAACAGCAGGGGGAACCCCCATTTTAGTATGCCTTCATTTAACTTCTCATTACCTTTATGAATTAACTAAACAGGGTGTGATCGAGTGCCCGATACCAGATAAAGACATACGAAGATTTGATGCAAACATCCGCCTGTTTCCTCCATTCATTGATAATGACATTTGCCCATTGACTATTAATAACACATTGCTGCAGTCATGCTACTTGAGAAATACAGAATGGGCTTGTGGCGTAGCAGTTTATACAGGTAACTTGTTGATACTATTTGTTTTGTTTCATGTAACAGCAAGGCTAGTACAAAAGGTTAAGAATGGGGTCATCCTACAATAATCATGGAATGACTAATGTAAACAAGGCTGTTGTCGGCAATGTTACTTAAGTTGACAACTTGGATTTCTATAGCATTTACATTTTATCATTGATCAATATCAAAATATTTACTTTGGCATATAGTCTTCATAACATTTGAGAAAGGCTATGTATGGATATGGATATACAAATAAAGGGCGAGACCATCCTACTTGTGTCCTCTGTAGGATATTTGGAAAGGTAACTGACAAAGTCCATCTAAGATGAGACTTGCCCAAGTTCGCAGGCTTCCTTAGTGGGGGTGCATCTGAATTGACGGAAGATAAGGATGACAACCTTGATCCACAACCACAATGAAGAGGACCCCTGGATGGATAAGGCCCAACTTGCTGGCTATATAAGCGGAGGGGAGACGTCCAGGGGTTAAGCAAATTAAAAGTCCAAGAGAAGCCTAATAAGCTCGTCGATGTCACCCCTTTTCTGATCTCGCCCAATCAGTAGCGTAGGTTGGGCTTTGCATCCAGACCTAGGCGTTCAAGTTACAAACTTTCGTTGTAATCAGATCATCAATGAATAGGAAGAACACGTGACATATAGTTGTTATCCTCTGGAAGCCCGAATCTATATACATCGTGTGTCCTGCATACTGAGTATTCATCTATGATCCTGTGGTTTTGAAGGTACCAAATTCCATCATAAGTATTATTGTTGATTATCAGATTGTCAACAAGCATGCTTGTGGATAGAACTATTAGTTTTTTTCTCGAACATGCAGGAGAGCTGCATTTCGTTATATTAAGAAGAAAAAAGGGGACAGAGCCCTTACAACACACACACCCGTCAAACTCAGTCAAAGATAGCGCTTTTAGTGTCTAGTTCTTCATCACCTTTTAAAACTGGTGTGCATTTCACCTTAGATGCAGGAGTACGATAACCTGACAGCCCAACATGTTTGAAAGAACTGCATTTTGGTGAGATATGGATTTTGTCTTACTCAGGTAGAATTTGATAATTTATAAGGCCCTCCAAATCTTATTATTCAATATGTTCAATTTTGCCCCTACTTATACTGGCCAATTAGACTATTTCAGATTAGGTGATTGAATCTTACAACTACTTGTTAATGTTCTCAGGTGAAAACTTTCATACAAATCAGTAATTTTCAAACAAATACTATGTACTAACTCAATTATATATGTACTATTGTACACATTACACACTATAAAGTTCCAAAAAACGCTTGTTGCTATGTGATTTTGTCCTTAGCAGCTGACACATTTAATAGTTAATGGGCTTATTCAACAAAACTGAACTTGAAAGGGCTTCATTGCACATTGATGACAGGAAAAGGGGCTGTACTCAGTGAGATTGTGCTTTAGTGCCTTGATTGCAGAAATTTAAATAATTTGAGGGCTTTCAGTAAAGATAACGCTGTTTAGCCTTACAACAATCATGTAGAACACATTATTGTTAGATTTTTTTGCTCACACACCTACTACAAATTTAGTTTCAATGGTATTATAGTAATCTGCAGAGTAACTGGCAAAATGTGTTTTCAGTCTTACCATTTTTACGTATGAATTAGATTTTGTGACATGGATTTATTTTAAACTTCAACTTTACCAGGAGACTGATTATTGATAATCTCCGCTTCCAGGCAATGAAACTAAGTTGGGGATGAGTAGGGGTGTCCCAGAACCCAAGCTAACTGCTATGGATGCAATGATTGATAAGCTTACTGGTGCCATATTCTTATTTCAACTTACAGTCGTTGTCGTTCTTGGGGCTGCTGGCAATGTTTGGAAGGATATGGAAGCTCGCAAGGTAGTTTTGCTTGTAAATTTTCTCTTTGTGTCCTACATATTAGCTCCATTGTTACTAGTGTATTGGGGACCTGCAAAAATATTTGCAAGATGTAAATTCTTGTCACAAACTACTACTGAAATGATAGAGTTTATTGTGCATCTCTTTTCAGAGGTTTCAAATTTTGCCATTTTGAGATTCGTAGGTAATAAAAGATGGGATCACCTTGTAGTTACAAAGTAATTTTAAGAAAATTAAGCACCCAATTAGAGCTGAAGAGTATTTGGTGGTGGGTGTGTTCATCTAGGATTGGCCTTCCCCCCCTCTATGGTTTACTCCTATTTCCTTGTGGCCTTCAGTTGAAGTAATATTCCCAATGTGCTCTGTGTGTTGCCAAGATTAAGTTCTGTAACTTGACCGTAAGGTTGGGCATGTGATTACAAAGTATCTCAAGAATTTGACATGCGACCTCTTTATTACTCATTGTGCTAATTCACCTGCCCAAACGTGAAAACTCTCATTAACTGAATTATACATGGCCGCATTGTTCTTTTGGGCCTTCTATATTTTGCTCATCATCTAATATTTTGCCTGTCTTCGTGTAGCAATGGTATGTTAAGTATGATGACAATGAACCATGGTATCAGATTCTGGTTATACCTCTGCGGTTTGAACTATTGTGTTCTATTATGATTCCTATTTCAATAAAGGTATGCCCATGAGTTTTTCAATTCACACGGTCTTCAGATTTTTATATAATTCCATTTCTCATGTTATGGCAACTATTTGTCTGATATCTTGTTGGCATATATTTCAACCACCAGTCCACCCTTTTTAAAATATGCTATTGCAGCCATGCTGTGTTTACCATTTAATTGGTGCAAAAATCTTCTTGCAATTGCATAGTTGCATTTGCATGACTACTTATACACTTACAGATATTCTGGATGTTCAGTTACTCTGGTCTATGGGCAGTGGTCTGCATAGACATCTTAGTACTATTTAAACTCATTTTCACTTGAAAACTATTGAATTCTCTATTTGTTTTAGCATAGTTCTGTGAACTGCACTTTCTTTATGCAGTGCATGTTTTCCATTTTATTGTTTGCTTCTGTATGTAGCTGCGTTATTGTCTTTTCTAAAGTAAGCAATGCCATAATGCTAGAGGGAAACATTGCACAGTAGATATACTTTCTCTGACGGTCATACCAAATGAAAAGTTGCTTCTATTTTATACTTGTCAGTGATGCTCTAAAGAGGATTTATGTGTCTTGTAGGTTTCTTTGGACTTTGTTAAAAGTCTGTATGCGAAGTTCATAGATTGGGATGAGGATATGTATGACCTGGAAAACGACATACCTGCCCATGCAGCAAAGTAAGCAACCATGCGTATTTCTATCGATAAGGAGACGTGCAATTGTTCTTTCTTCTCCTCTGCTAAATCTACCTTAACGCAATAATTTTCAGCACAGCAATTAGTGAAGACTTGGGGCAGGTTGAATATATTTTGACAGATAAAACTGGGACATTGACTGAGAACAAGATGATCTTCAGAAGGTGCTGTATCGGGGGTACCTTTTATGGGAATGAATCTGGAGATGCGCTCAGAGGTCATACTTAAAACTTCAATTAACTATTTTCTTAATAGTTGCAAAAGTTAGGATCCAGTGTGCTTTCTCACTATCTTCTCAGAACAAGATCATATCTGGGTTCTGCCATCTTTGTTTCCAGCTTCCATCTTTCAACAACATAATAACAAGAAAGAGCCTCTTTTTGCTAGCTTTAATTGGTCCTCCTGCAAGATTTTCTTCTAAATTGCCTTTTCTGTTGTTAACCATTTCTACTTTTGATACAAATGTACTTGGAACTTATTTAAGATGTGGAACTACTTAATACTGTTTCAAGTTCATATTTATGCCAGTTTTAAAAAAAACTTCATATTTATGTCGACTAATCGGTTTCCCTGTTTAGATGTTGAATTACTGAACGCTGTCGCCAATAATTCCCCTCATGTCATCAAGTTTTTGAAAGTCATGACACTCTGCAATACAGTAATTCCTATAAAAAGGTTAGACATTCATCCTTCTGACAGTTTCACCCACATATTCTGTTCATTCTTACCATTTATTCTTTACCCAATGCTATGGCTTCCAGTCCTAGTGGATCAATTTTGTATAAAGCCCAGTCCCAGGATGAGGATGCTCTGGTTAATGCGGCTGCAAATTTGCATATGGTTCTTGTCAGCAAGAATGGAAACAATGCAGGTAGGTTTTCTGGTTCCTAAATTTGTTTTGTTTTGTATGGTTTATTGGCTAAATAATTAGACATCTACTAAAAGCAGAAATTCACTTCAACCAGCGAGTGATGCAATGTGAGATACTTGACATCCTTGAGTTCACATCTGACCGGAAAAGAATGTCTGTTGTCGTTTTGGATTGTCAGAGTGGCAAGATTTTTCTCTTGTCCAAAGGAGCTGATGAGGCAATGCTTCCTTGTGCTTATTCTGGTAACATTTTCTCAGTATCTTTTAAATATTTTAGAACCTAGCATTTACATACTTTCTTCTTATTTTGTGGCATAAATTTAATCCACAGTTTACTTCAGAAGTAATAAATGGCTGTGTTCTCTTGACTGTGGGTCTTCTTGCAAATCACTCCCTCTCTCTTGAGAGTTTATCAAAAACACACACACTAGCTTCTCTCTGGTGGACACAGTACATAGTGACACTAGTTGTTTTTTGTCGATGCGGCCACACAAGCCCTCACCATTTTGTCATATGAGAGGGAGGGAGGGAGCTGTCCTTGATATCCTCCTAATTAATGTGCTATGATTGCCTATTATTCTCCTAAACTGCTAACTGAAATCTGCTAGTACTAAAGACTCCGTACCTACACAAAATGAACCTGAACACATGCAGCACACAAGGATTCTAGCTAACAGGTCTTCGCAAGCAGAACATATAATTTTTTGTTGATGCAACTCTATTAGTAAATTGTGTTTGATCTGAGGATCTCATGATAGTTAATTTTCAGGACAAAAGACAAAGACGTTTGTTGATGCAGTTGACAAATATGCTCAGCTGGGGTTGCGCACACTCTGCTTGGGATGGCGTGAGCTGGAACCAGAGGAATACACTAAATGGTCTCAATCATTTAAGGAGGCTAATAGCTCGTTGAATGACAGGGAGGTAATTATCATATTTATTAATTCAATTCAGATAAATTTGATAGAAAAATAATTCCTCTATATTTGCTTTGTTCAGTGGAAAGTTGCTGAGGTTTGCCAAAAGTTAGAACATAGCTTGGAGATTCTAGGTGTCAGTGCAATAGAAGATCGCCTCCAGGTTCTACTTTGGCTTTGCTTTCATATCATGTAACAATACATTATTCTTTTTGGCGTTCGCCGGCCACCTGGCCCTTATATCTGGATCTGTTCATAGGATGGGGTACCAGAAACTATCGAAATACTGAGGCAGTCAGGAATCAACTTCTGGATGTTAACTGGTGATAAACAAAGTACTGCCATTCAAATTGCTCTTTTGTGCAACTTGATTTCTTCAGGTATGTGTGTTTCAATATACTAGTTTTTACAGCTTTACTCCATTGTAGTTCCATAAACTTATTTTAGAGTTTTAGGGCTACAGTCCCAGTCTTTTGACCAAATAACCAAAAGACGGTCGAAATCGTTACAGCATAGGAAGTTGATCCGGGACCAGTCAGTTCAAAACTCGGAGAACCTCACAAACAACCTCCAAGACTAAAACCTGAAACAAATTACATCAACCTCATGCTGTTGACCAGATTACACCACCAAGCTTCTGGGACTGGAACCTCCAGGTTGTTGTACCTTCCCTCCTTGCAGCTGTAGTGCGCCAGATCTTCCATGTTGATCCGGGACGGAAACTCTTCTAACCTTGTTCCCAGTTTCTTCAGTTCCAAAGCCACAAAACTGTTTTTGCCAAATTCCTGATCTCCATTGTAATCTGTCTCAACCACTTTCTTTTCTGCTGTACACAGAATTATCCAATTTTGTACCATGCCAGCCATTTTGTACAACAGCACATCCATTCCTTTCCAGCCAACTTTCTGAAAACAAAGATCATCTCTGAGTTTCCAGATACTAAGAGCAGCAGAAGTAACCATATTAAGCAAACCATGCCTTTTGTTACTCTGCCAAAACTTTCCTACATCATCCAGACTACCACCTATGTTTACTTTAAGTATATCAGGAAGCATACTCCAAAGCTGTTTGGCCACAGCACAATCAAAGAACAAATGTTGCACTGATTCATACTCACAACATAACAGACAACTACTATCATCGACTTTCCTTCTCTTGGTTAAACTATCCCTAATTAACACTTTGTTATGAGAAACAAGCCAGGGAAAGAAATGAACTCTTGGCCGAACCGTGACAGACCACAAACTCTTGCTTCTAAAATTTATGACCTTATCAAGAGACTGAGAAGAATAAATCCCATTAGTTGAAAAGTGCCAAATGAAGAGTGGAAGCTAATTGACAAACTTCTAATAACCACATATACATCAACTATCATCTACAGACCTTCTAAAACTGCACTTAAGGTTCTCCCAATACCACAGTTCTGCTACAGTACAGTTCTTCTCATTAACTATCATATATAGATTCCAGAACTGAATAGCTAAGCTTGAAGAACCTAGCCATTTATCTTCCCAAAACCTTACCTTTTTTCCATTACCTATCCTCCACCTATATGGCTATATCACATCTTAGCCGCCTGAGAAGCCCACATAAAAACCTCTAAATTAGAGGCCCCTGTACTCCTAGTCAAGAAGATATTTGATTTATCAGCGTTCTGTTCTACTTAAAGTCTATCAGCTCTTTCCAGAGCTTATCTTTGTCTTCTATATACCTTTTTATCCAAGAGGCTAACGAACAAATATTTAAGTCTCTTAGGCTTGGGATTCCTAAACCACCAATTTTTTTCCATGAACTTTTTTTTCTCAGGTGTCTATTCAATATTCAAATGTTGTGGGGGTGTCAATGTACAAAAGTGAGTATGGTTGTAAAGTGAAAAATTATCGGGCGGTTTTATGTTTATTTCCTTTCTTCTTTATTGATTGAGCGGAGTTGTAAAGAAGTCTATTGTGTTATAATGTCAGTCCTTTTTTAAATGAGAAAAAAGACAAAGACTTAAAAGATAACCATGAATAAGTTTGAAGGAATAGAAAAGAGTTTTGGTTACACTAAATTGGCATGTACTTAACTATTCATAAGTGCATCCATACAGGCCACAGGGAGTGAATAAAACCAGTGTCAGCTGAGTAGCTCATCAAAAGTACATTCTAAAGGAGGCCCAGTGCAGTTTTTTTCTTGAATAATGGTGATGTGGAGATGAATTAAATACCATTTTTACTTTTGTTGCCTGTCTGTAGAACCTAAAGGGCAGCTCTTGCATATCAATGGGAAAACTCAAGATGAAGTTGCTAGAAGCTTGGAAAGAGTTCTTCTTACCATGAGGATTACGTCATCAGAGCCTAAGGTTTGTTAAATGTGGTGTATTGCACGTCTCATTTTGGTAGCTTTCAGTGTGTGGAAGGACAAGCAGACTCTAAACTATAATCTTTTGGGGGCCATAGGAGTTTTTGTCCTGTTTGAACACCTCGTGCACATGTTGATTCAGGCCTATTATTTGTTGACTCAAACATATAATGCCCTGTTTGGATCCATTGAGCTACTAGTTAGCTGCTCATAATTAGCTCCTTTGTATCCAAACAGAGTCTAACTAGTTGGATAAAACCAGCTAATAGTTAACTAGCTAATGTTAGGTATGAGCTATTAGCTAGCTAATGGATCCAAACAGGGCCTGAAAGGACTAAAATTCCCTCTCTTCTAAGACCATCACCTGCTGGAATGAGGCACAGCCAACTGCAACAGCAACTCTCACTGGGTTATGAAGAGGCATATCTGGTGGTGACAGTTGCCATTAAGTTGCTTCATTAGCTATATCGAAAAGGGATTATCCACCTCTGCCACAGTACTGGGCTGTTGGCCTGGATTAGTCACAATTAAATCCAGGTGGTCTAGCGAACTTAGGTTGGTCCTGACACTACTTGCTGTAACTCTTATCTTTATATGCCACCATCAGCTCCTCTCAGATCTGAACTACTCCCTGCCGCTGTTACTTTTTCTTCTGGCAGGATGGCCTGTCGTTTCCTTGTCAACCTACCTTTCTGATCTCTGATGCATTCATTGTTAAGGCCTTGAGAGGGAAAAACCAAGTTTCCTGAATGGCTAATTTAACCCTTTTCAAATAGCATGATCAAAATAAAAGCCATCTGTGATGATTCAGTGACCAGTTGGTCCATTGGCCGATTTAAGTATTTGTAAAATTAGGATGACTTCAAATCTATGCCTTTACAATGATATTATCACCTTAAAGAAAGTTAGTATCTTGACTTGCACCATGATTTTGTATTTGCTTCAAACAGGAGCTGGCTTTTGTAGTGGATGGCTGGGCACTAGAGATTATTCTGTCACACTATACTGAAGCTTTTACTGAACTAGCAGTTCTTTCAAAAACTGCATTATGCTGTCGGGTTACACCTTCACAAAAAGCTCAGGTAATTCTTTACCATTGCCTTTTTTTTCTTGCTTGAACAAAATATGTTCATCAGCATTAGTTATTTGTATGAATAAAGTAATGTTTAAAGTACAATTCATTATTTTGAATAATAAAGTGCAACATAGAAATATGTTTTTTAATCAATAGTAAAGTCTGATTTGCTCCCTTGAACTTGTTGCGAAATTTAAAAAACACCCTCGAACTCGAATACCAGACAACATACAACCCTTAACTTTCAGAGCTGAACAAATTACCCAATACAATAGTTCATAGTGGTTTAGATGGTGGTTTTGGCTGATGTGGGACATATGTGTCATGTGGGCCCCACATGTCTTTGGTTTTTTAGCCATGTCATCTTGTATTGGATATGTGTCATGTGGGTGTGGGGGGAGGGGAGGGGGGTATTTTGTTTGATTTTGAAAGTTAAGATGCGTATGTTGTGTATTGGAGTTCGAGGTGCTTTTTCAAATTCGCCCACTAGTTTATGGGTGTAAATTGGACTTGACTCTTTAATCAAACACCTGTTTACATACGGGCTACATAAGGAGCTAGCATAAGACAAAACATGGTAAATTTACTTTTCTAATCAAAACACATGTATACACATAAGGATCTGGCAAAAGTTAACATGATATCCATCGGAGGTCTACTTGGGTCTGTGTTACCTTCTAATCTTTTGTACCCAGTTGCAAATTGTAGTTCACTTTGGCTTTGTCCTAAATCATACTTCTCTAATTTTGACCCTTATAGAAAATATGCCAACATCTACAACGTCAAATTAGTTTCTACCATGAACTATGTTGTGATAGTACATTTATTTAATATTGTAGATGTTAATATATTTTTCTAAACACTTAGTTAAAGTTAGTGAAAGTTGACTTAAAACAAAGCTAAAATGAGATATAATTTGGAACGGAGTATTACTCTGTTTTTCCTTGTAAATTACTTGCCCTAACATCCTGTTTCCATAGCTAGTGAAGCTTCTAAAGTCATGTGACTATCAAACTTTGGCAATCGGTGATGGTGGGAATGATGTAAGGATGATACAACAGTCTGACATTGGTGTAGGAATTAGTGGTAGGGAAGGTCTTCAAGCTGCAAGGGCTGCTGACTATAGCATTGGCAGTGAGTACTTAACATCTTCTTATCTTTTTCTTCTGCTACCACAATTCTTATGGCGCTACATCCTTTACTTATAAGACGTTATCATGGTTTCTGTATACTAGATAGCTGTGATAGTATTACTGTTATTTGTTCTCATATTTTTTGTTGCAAATTATCTTGTTTAATTTTTCTGGTATATCAACTCTGTTTAGTTACTTTTGTATGCATGAACGTCTTCAAGTCAGTTATAAGTGAATCATTTGTGTGTTAAAGTCAATAAGAGAGTCTGGGAATACCAAATCTTGGCCTTTTGGCAGACAACTGCAGTTTGATGACTCTTGCCGACCATGGGTTGGTTGGGTTCTTCATGTGGACTTTCTACTAGGTTTTCAAGGGATTGAAACTTTGACCTGTAGATTGTGAAATGTGAGGACTGTACTAATCGGTAACCAAATGGTCTCCACTCAACCAAGAAAAGGAAAGGAAAAAAGACCAGCCAGTCAAGCTGGTATATATATTCCTTCTAGAACAAGAGGGGAGCCTAATGACTATACAATTTATCTTTTTGGTGCTTGGATCGAGTTCTTTCGGCACCAAACAAGTAGATATGAATATTTCGAGTTGTTTGGTCATATGCTGCCCTGGGCGCATTGAGATACAAGTTCAGTTATTTTCTATGTTCAAGATACTGTTGATATAATAGTGATATGCCAATATGTGTTCAGCTTTCTTGGCCTTCACATGGAAATTAAGCTGTGAACTCAAATATATTTCCATTTGTGTGGGAAACATCATCTTACAATGTTGTCTGTTGGGAAGATGAATCTTGTAGTCCTGTAGTTCGACACTCGTACTTTTGTGCCCTGAGAAAGTGAAATATTTTGTGTGGTCGTAAGTTTTATAGCCTGTCGGTTAATGAAGCATGTCTGGTCATTTTTCATTAACTCGTACTCAACTTATGTGAGGTCATAACAGTTCCTTAGAGCCAACACTCTCACGGTGCAACTGGTCAGCACAACACGCCAAAGAAGCGGTTGGTTGAGCCAGCCCGGGTTCGAGTCACGGCACCATCTTCTTAAGATGAAAATCAGGGGGACGTCTCTCCCCCTGGTCGAATCATAACAGTTCCTTAGCTGTGGTTTGGTATGAATTCGTGTGAATTTATATGCTCTCTGTTCTAGTCTAGGTTCTACAATAGTTTGATTAAACTCTGGAGTAGTTAATACCGTGCAAGTTTATATAACCTTTCTGACACTTCTATTTTTACTTGACAGAATTCAGGTTCCTGAAAAGGCTGATTCTTGTCCATGGGCGGTACTCCTACAATCGCACTGCCTTTCTTTCGCAGTACTCTTTCTACAAGTCATTGTTAATTTGCTTTATTCAGATAGTGTAAGCCATAAACCTTTGGTACTTGTATTATGGTGGTTGGACATATAGTGTGTGCTAGTTTTCTTGATTGATCATATTCTGTGCGCAGTTTTTCTTTCCTTTCAGGCATTGCTGGAACAAGCTTATTCAACTCAGTTAGTTTGATGGCTTATAATGTTTTCTACACAAGCATTCCTGTTTTAACTACTGTACTGGACAAGGATTTATCTGAAAAGACAGTGATGCAAAATCCAGAGATATTACTTTACTGCCAAGCCGGAAGGTAAGCATGTTGCTGTTAAGGGTCGGTATCTCTTTTGTGATTTATTCTTATCTACAGTATCCTAGATAAATTTTATTTTCTTACGCTTTGAATTTCTTTTAACTATTTGAATATCTTTGTAGGCTTCTCAATCCAAGTACCTTTGCTGGTTGGTTTGGTCGATCATTGTATCATGTAAGTTCTTTGTTCTATATTGCCTTTTTGCTCATGGTTTGCAAATGTTAATTTGTGCATTTTCACTAGAAGAGCTCAAAATGCTACTGGAATACATATTGCTTAGATACTACCAAAACATAAGAGTTCAACAAAACTCAAAAAAAATTTGACCAACAAATTGGATAAGTAAAAAACTGAAAGCAGTTGTTCTCTGGAACAGCACCTTAGTCCTGGTTTCTGAGATCCAGAACCCTGGATTTATTTAGCTCAAGAAGACATCACTTAGAGCTATCAATCACTCTAGTGGTTCCTACTTATATGGCCTTCACAATTATTGTAAAAAGTGTACGCAAACCTCTTATGTTTTTTCTCAAACACTGCAAAGCTCTTATCTTAGTAGTTTTCTGCTTCACCATTTCCTTAAATACCTCAGTTAAGCCCGCTATTGACTCATTGACTATACTTAAGAAATGTACGCATTGACATATACTTAAGCAGATGACCCATAAGACAGGAACTGAGTTTTTTTTAAGTTAGTTAAATTATTATGTTTTTGTTTATCCGGCTAATGTGTATGTTTTCTCTTTTCCTTGCAGGCAATCGTTATTTTCTTAATAACCATCCATGCATACGCTAATGAGAAAAGCGAGATGGAGGAGCTCTCAATGGTTGCACTCTCAGGAAGCATTTGGTTGCAGGCATTTGTTGTGACATTGGAGATGAAGTACGAATTAGAAAAACTTTATCCTCCTAACTAAGAACTGCTATTTGTCAGAGTGGTCCTTATTTGTCTTCTTACTTGCAGTTCCTTCACATTTCTGCAACTTCTGGCCATATGGGGAAACCTCATTGCCTTCTATGTCCTAAACTTCTTTATCAGCAGTATACCCACTTCTGGAATGTACACCATCATGTTCCGCCTTTGCAGACAACCATCATACTGGATAACGCTGGTGGTAAGTTCTGCTAGATGTTTTTTGATTGGTTTTATAAAGGCTTCATGCATTCGTCGAATCGTAGTGACCATAATGTGTCATTGTTCCAGTTGATCAGTGGAGTTGGAATGGGTCCTGTATTAGCTCTGAAATATTTCAGATATACATACAGACCTAGTGCGATCAACATTCTTCAGAAGGCCGAGCGCTCACGGGGGCCGATGTACACCCTGGTGAATCTGGAGTCCCAACTGAGATCAGATAAAGATAATATGATGGTAGCTGGTTCCACAGCACCAGCCAAGAATAAGAGCTCTGTTTACGAGCCTTTGCTTTCTGACTCACCGATGGCATCCAGGAGATCGCTTGGACCATCTTCATTTGACATCTTCCAGCCAGCACATTCCAGAACATCTCACCCTAGAAATATAAAAGCCAATTAATTTTTTTGGCCCACAGTTAACTCCTAACAGTATGCTGTATACCAGAATGACAAAGACAATAGCTGTCAGCTGAATTAGATATGTTGCATAGTTCTGTTAATGATTTAGTAGATATTGCCCAAAAAGATAAACCGAAAAGTCATAAGCCTTTTGTATCATACACTGTATTTTATACCTGCTAGCAAAAAATGGGTAATGATCATTTATGTACCTGTATCTATATGGGAAATAAATTAGTTTTTCCAGTCCATCAGATGCACAAACATAAATTAACGTCCCAGTCATACCATACCAAAAAGACTGGGTTTTATCAGGACCTATCCAATTTTAAATTGTGATATACTCTCGGGCCCAAATTATGTAGTGCTGCTGCGTTTTCCCCTTTGCTTTCCTCAGTTTCCTTCGCCTTTTGTCCATCATGTGGTTCTCATGCAAATTGGAATGGTTATAGTAATATCTCAGTTGCAAAAGCATTTTGCTTTGTGGTGATGCTGCGTAAATTGGAATGGTTATACTAATATCTCAGTTCCAAAAACATTTTGCTTTCTGGTGATGCTGCGTAAATTAGAATGGTTATACTAATATCTCAGTTGCAAAAACATTTTGCTTTCTGGTGATGCTGCTTATACGCAGCTAGAGGTGGAATTCCATACAGATCAAGTTCTACCCGCTACATTGGGCAACTAACTTTTGGAGAAGAGAATAAGTAATTATCCATTTACAATGTAGATAATTTTTCGCTAGAGGACAGGTATGTGATGTTTTAGTTCATGTTTAGTTTGAAAATAATTTATTCTTCTGTATATCCTTTTAGCTGGGGGGGGGGGGGGCAGCGGAGGGATGACACTGCGTATCAAGGTGGATAATGTACTTGCCCCTCCATCGCTATGGTCCACAATCGTAAGCAAAGTTTTTTTTAGAGAAGTCCACAGGTTAACTATAGGTCTATGTATTAATATTAAGGGTTATTTTGATCGATACCATTACAATTTTTGAAATTTTGAGAACTACCATTACTATTCACCTATTTTGAGATGAGCCACTACAATTCTTTAGGACTCTGAAATATACCATTATATACGCTTTGGATGCTGTTGGGCCCATATGCAGACCAACGTATTTTCAGATGACAAGAGTACCCTCTGTCCTCTTCGTCCATATGATCGCCGCGTGGGTCCTGTCGTCATCTTCTTCCTCCTTCCCGTCTTCTTCCTCTCGCAAAGACATACCGACCAAGCGCCCACGCCGAGTTCTGCGTTAAGCCCACTTCGCTTCGTTGCTGCCCTCGTCCCGTAGCTTCATAGCAATACCGAGGATGGCGGGCGCCGCCGCCTTTAGAATGGGACGGGGAGAAGGGGATCGCGCGACGTAGCACATCGTCAACTCGCTTTCGCTAGCTCCATAAACGCCGTCGCCGACATGATCTCGCATCTTCTCCGGCCGACAACCACCACTCGCTCACGTCCGACCTCTTGCCTCTTCCACCGCCATTGCCGATTCCATCTCGAGGCGACGAGCCCGACTTTCCGACGAAGACGACACGCCGCTGCGGCCGCTTTGCCTCGGGCGGTAGCAGAACCGCGCATGTGGTCGAGGCGGGCTCCGCCACCGCTGCCCGTCCAGTGAGGCGCCGCGCCGCCGGGGACCTCGAGGCCTCGCTCCTCTTCTCCGCAGCTCTCGCTCATGGGGTAGCCTGGTGGGCGGCGAAAGCACACGGGGGTGGCCTTGTGGGGCATTAGAACTCGCGCGTGGTCAAGACGAGAGCGGGCTTCTGGGTGCGAACTCGGCGGGTACCTCCCCATGGTGGGGGAATGGCGGGCCGGCGATGAGACGCGGCGGCGGACCGCACTGGCGGCGATACTTGGCGAAAGCACGTGCGCATGCCAGAGAGAGAGGAGGAGAGATCGATCATGGCGGGTTTTGTCAGGTCACTGCGAAGCTCGTGAACCTTCTATAGTCAACTGAGGCGCGGCCGTGGCGTAGATCGACGGCGGCGCCGGGCGAGAGGCGCTATGGCGGTATAGGCGCTAGGGCTAGCGGTGGCGGTCTGCGGCTGCCCTAGGGTTCGAGAGGGCGCAGCGCACTTGAGACCTTCCTTAAATAGGCGGCGGGGATCCTAGTGAAGCGCACAAGGGTGAATCGATGATGGCGACGACGGCGTCCCAGCGATGATCGCGGGAGCAATGGGAAGAACGGCTGCTCGGCTGTTGTCACAGGCCGGTGGCGGCGCCTACACCACAGACAAGCCTAGCATGAGGAGTTAGGGGAAGAAGACAGGGAAGGAGGAAGGTGATGATCAGTGGGGTCCACACGTCAGTGACATATAGAGATGAAGGTGGAGGGGTAGTCTTGTCCATTCAAAAATATGATGACGTCATGTACACCTGCAGCTGGGCCCAAGGTCTCCCCGAACGTATATAATGGTATATTTCAGAGTGCTGAAGAATTGTAATGGCTCATCTCAAAATAGGTGAATAGTAATGGTAGTTCTCAAAATTTTAAAAATTGTAATGGTACCGGTCAAAATAATCCTAATATTAATAGAAGAGTGAACAACACAATAAAGAAAACACCCAAACACAAAAAGAAAACAACCAACAACATGATACAACAACCATCGTCCCTGTTCGTTTGGCTGATAAGCCATGGTTGAAAATATCGTTGACTGATTTGTTATGAGAGAAAAATATTATTTATTGACTGAAAAAATACGGCTTATAAACCAAGCGAACAGGACGTGTAATATCTGCCAACGAAGACAGCCATGGTCAAGCTTAGCCACTACTTGTTGTGAAGGGATGAACGATGGGGTTAGGGCCTATAGAACTAGAAGCCTAGGACTAGTACACGTCTTGGGCGAAATGGATGTGCTAAGCGTGTAACTGACTCCCACATATGGTAGTTATCAATCCAACATCTATAAATAATTAATTAATGTAGTTTTATACATGATATAATAAACATTTGCATGTATTGGTCGAATAGAATCAATGTTTATTCACTGAACTCAAGATCATTGCCAGTGCTATAGCTAGGATGACGTGGCCATATGATTTCCATCAAAACCTTCTTATTTTAAATTTTTTATCATTACTGAATTGGAGCTGAGCCATCTTATCCTAGACCAAGCATCGCAAATATTCCCCTTCACATATTCCTTGCTAAAAAATAATATTATTAGTACACATCTGATGATGATAAACAGGAACAATACTTGACATGGATCTCATCTTTAATTGTTCGCCCTCTCTTTCCAGTGCTCCATAGCTGTCTACCAGATGATTCTATCCCTCAGCAGCTCCTTTGGCCTGGCTAGCTTAAACGAGGAGTACCCGGTCCTTCCTACAAGCTTCTAGCTAGTTTCTAGCTAGACCTGCTTTTTCTACCATGCATGTTGTCTGCTATGCGTCTCTGTTAATTTCCTTGAGGCAGGCATAGATCTCGTGGAAGGTGGGATAAGCATTTCCATGGACTACCTTGACTCCCATCTCGTCCAACCATTTCATCCGTTAAGACTGATTCTTCCTTACCACCTGAACACAAAAGGCAACAGATGGTAAAACGATTCTTCTTCAATTATCACATCAGGAGATGATTGACGTAGCAGCACAACAGTGAAGTAGAGAGCCACTAAATATATAAACAATTTTATCTTCGGTTTAGATCGCAGTTACTGGATTTGTGATCATGTTAATATTCAATACAATCGTCAGGACTCAGGAGCTAGTCTTAGTGGTCTTCAGTGTTCACAAGCTACCCAAAATATGGTCTACTTAAAATATGAAAAGATAACTGTATAGTGCGCCTAAACCTTTTGTGATATGTCGGTCCAGCCACTCAAACAGTAAAAAGTAACCCACTGAAGACTCTCAGACTGAACTGTCTTTACGTTCTTGAGACGTTACTTCCCCCAAAGTGTATTCACGCATGTGCATTTCGGTTCAGGCCAGCAGGTTGGCTCGAAGGGCCGGGCCGGGCCGGGCTGGGCTGGCTCCCATCAACAAGCAGGCCTAAGTGAGCCCATCCTACCATTTACTCAACAACAAAAAAAAAAACATCCATCCTACCAGACCCAGACCGTGCCCGTCTAAAAGCACAGCAAAGCGGGTCTTGGCGTCTGGCAGCCAATTTCCAAGTCTTCCTAACAATGGAATTCCTCCGATTCGTTTCTCTTTTTGTTAAAGAAGAAGAGCCAAAGAGAGAAAAGCTTGGTATCAACTTGACCGCAGTTGAAAGCCCTGGATTAACAAGGCGCGAGTGAATAAGTTCCCTGATTGCCAGTGTAAAACGTGCTGAAATGACTTGCAAACATTCGGCACTAATCAACATGCGCCCCACGGGGTTCCATTCTGCATTGAGCTCTCTGTGTACTGTTTCTTTACCCAAAAAAACCACATCATGGCCAGCATTGGATCCCTAGTTCAGCTCCACACCTTCTTTTAGGCCTCCTTACACACACACACACACAGACACATACATACATACATATATATATATATATATATATATATATATATATATATATATATATATATATATATATATATATATATATATATATATATATCATACATACATACATACATACATAAAATATAATATATATGTTTATAGTATATCTCCATTTATGATAATTTTATATACTAATTTACGATAATGTCAATACATATTTATGATAGTTGGGTTACTATAACACATGAGGATATTTACCATAACGTGATAGTAAACCACTTAGTAAGGAGTTACTATAATCTCATAAATTAACATAGTAATTATCATAACTCAAAGTGGCTACAAAATAAGTTATTTTGTAGCCCGCTACAGAGTAGTATATATATAGAACTACTTTGAGTTACGATAATTATTATGTTAGCCCGCTACAGAGTAGTAGTTCTATATATATATATATATATATATATATATATAACTCTATTTTGTAGCCCGCTACAAAATAACTTATTCTGTAGCCACTTTGAGTTACGATAATTATTATGTTAATT